AAATTGGATATTCATTGTTTCTGTAGACAGTCTTCCCAATTAACATATTCACTAGAATATTTATGGAAACATACTCAAAAAGAGTGTGAACAGCATCAAAGTGAATCCATTTAAATACTAAGATGAGTATTTGCAGCCTTCCTTCAATTTATTTTATTGTATTTGATGAGGTGTTTGCCCAACTCTGGCTTCAGTCGTGTCTCTACAGATGACTTTGACTAAAATGAATTGCCAGAGAATCACAGTCACCCAACATGGGAGTGAAAAGAGGACAATCAAGGAAAGCAAGTCCCAGGATAGAAGTCAGGCTCTATTTTTTAAAGTGTTACCCTGGGCAGTTAAAGAAAAAGAGTCAACTGCTCTCTCACAGATTCCCTGCATGATCTCACACACCTTTTCAATTTTTCATCTTAAAGCTACATTACTGGCTCTTCCTTTCCTGTGAAATATGTTCTACACAGGAGCCCTACACACATAGTCTAGGATTTTCAACCTCAAGTGGATCCACCACATAGGTATTGGTAACTCAAGTGTATTTTCATCCTGTCAAAACGGAGGTGACTGGAAATCTGCTGAGGGCACAAAGGCACAGTGGACTCTTTTTTTTTTTTTTTTTTTTTAGGAATCAGTAATCTAGAAAGCATAGTCAAATTACAGTTCCAAATCTCCATTTTACATGACATTCATGATAAAGGGGATAGGAAAGTGCTGCTTGGAAAATGAAGCTATTTATGAAGCTACCGCTGGTTAGTGAAATTGCTATTTTCTTTCTAATAAAAATTCATCATGTATTATTTGATTATTTCTTCTCCCTGTTTTAAATGCGCTTCACCCTTCCTACTCTATTACTTTGTCTTTTGAATGTAATCTAAGAGTGTTGGAACAATTAGCTTTTCCATTCAAAGTAACTGATAACTAAAATTATGCTGTCCTTGTGCATTATTAAAAACAATAACAGTAACCAGGTATGTTCAAAGGCTGTACAATATTCAATACCATGTTTAATATTCTAGTTCATAACCTTAATAGACATTTATACATGATTAATGAGGCTTTTAGTAGCTGCTGCTGTCACAGCTTGGGTAATACCACCTCCAATGAATATTCTAAGGGAATGGTCTTACTGGCAGTGCCTGAGTGACAACTGTGAAGTAGCAGGCTGAAAAATTCTGTCTTAAGGAATTGCAAACTATTTCAAAAGCAGAACATGGAAATTGACTGCACTAAGGCATATTTTATATTACAGATTCACTAACAAAGCTTTTAAAGGGTTTCTAAATGTGATCCCACTACCATGCTATGGCAAATGAATAACTGAAATTCTTAGGCATAAACACATGGATGAGTAATGCAATTCCTAATTACTTCAAGAACATCTAATTGGCAGACACAGCACTGCAGATATCATACCAAAGAGAGGCATTTGAGTCTAGAGCCCTGAAACATATAAACAAAGAAAAAACCTGCACAGGAATGAAAAAAAAACCCACTAAAACTTTTGCTATGACAACTCAGCTTGGTCAACCTTTTTCCTTAGACCGAGAGGTGATTTGTCTACTATATGTATCTTCAAACAGAACCATAGCCAGGCCTGGCAGGGCAATAATTAGCATGGATTCACCAAAGGTAAATCATGCCTGACCAACTCGACTGCCTTCTGTGATGAAACGATTATGAAGAGGAGATGACTAGTTGATGCGATCTCCCTTCAATGTAAGCACAGCATCCCTGTATCCAATTTGGGATTTTACAGTCTATATGGGTGGTCTACCAGATGGGTGAAAAACTATCTGGAATGCTAGGGTCAAAGGGTGATGGTTACTTGTTCATGCTCTGTTTGGAAGTTAGTTCCATGTGGAGTTCCTCCATGCCTATTCTGCGACTAGACCTTTTCAGTCTTTTCATCAATGACATGCAGAATTCACTCATATCAAGATTGCAAATGGCATCAAGTCTGGGGGTTGCAGTCAATAAACTCACAGACAAGGGTGCCACCCAGGGGATCTAGACAGACTGAAGGAGTGAAAAATGCAAAGCCCTGTGCCTAGGAAAGACTAACTCTCTCATAATGGCACAGGCTGTGGAACAGTCCTCCTGGGAAACATCTGCAGTCCTGGTGTAGAGAACATTAAAAATCATCAACAGGAACATAGCAAGTAGGCTGAGGAAAGAGACCATTTCCCATTACTTTATACGCATTAGACCACATCTGGAACATTGTGTCCAGTTTGGGGTCCCAAACAGAACGACATTGATGAAGTTCAGAATAGAGCTATGAAGTTGTACAAAGGCTGAAGTTCTTGCCCTGGGCTTGTTCAGCTTGAAAAAGAGAAGGCTCTGCGGGTCTTATCAGCAGCCCTCTAGTACCTACAAGCAAGTTGCAAAAAGACAGAACCAGACTCTTCACATTGATACGTGGCAAGGGGATATGTGACATCAGACATAAATTGAAGCAAGGGAGGTTCAAACTACATATAGGAGGAGAAACTCTTCCACCTGAGAGCAGTCAAGCAGTGGCCCAAGTTGCTCTGGGAGGCCATGAAGTCTTTCTCCTTGGAGATTTTGAAGACACAACTGAATAAAGGCCTAAGAAATCTTGCCTGACCCCAAAACCCACACTGATTTGAGCAGTTTAATGAGAGGACTCCCAAGGCCTCTTACACACTGAATAACTGAGTCTATGAAGATACCAGGTACTGATGATTTCTTTAATTTAGTGGAGAAAAGTCTAAAAAGAACCATTTACTCAAACCTAAAACCAGATAAATGGAAAAGAAAAATTCTAGCACTGTGATTAACCAAAGAAACTAATGACAGAAGACAGAGAGAACTCTCCACTTCTGCTGGTTTCAAATCAAGGAATAATGATGTTGAGAGGCAATTTTTTTCTCAACTATATAGAATCACAGAATGATACAACTGGAAAAGACCTCTAAGATCATTGAGTCCAACCATTCACCTAGCACTGCCAAGTCCACCACTAAACCATGTCCCTAAGTGCCACATCAACACCTCTTTTAAATACCTCCAGGGACAGTGACTCAACCACTTCCCTGGGCAGAGTGTTCCAGTGCTCATCAACCCTTTCCATGAAGAAATTTTTCCTAATATCCAATCTAAACTTCATCAGGTGTGACTTGAGGCCATTTCCTCTTGTTCATTTGCTTGTCACCTGGGAGAATAAAGCCACCCCCACCTCACTACAACCTCCATGGAGAGCTCAAAATATGAGTAAATTGTGTGAACCATTGTGGAGAACAAAACAAGAAATTATATAAAATAACAAAATGGGTTTAACTCGTTGCCCATAATATCTACAAGTTAAGGAAAATGCTAGCTATTAGGAGGTTAAATAAATATCTAAGTGACCTTAGTTCTCAACCAACGAAGATTAAATAATGCCTCATCCAAAAAGAAAAAGAAAACAGATACAGAAAAGTAATTGAAAGAGTTACTAACTAAATAATTTCCAGCCCTTTTCCAGGCAAGGTTTTGTAATAGGTAATAGGTTTTGCTCCCTGGTTTGCATTTAAGATTAATTCACACTGAGAGCTTTAAGTCACTTCAAATACCATGTAGCAGCAAATTTCAAGATTTGTATTGAGTTCTCTGTAAAAACAAAGGATTCTGCACACAGAGGAATTTAAAACACCATGGCATTATCAACTGTGGACACAATTAAAATAGTCATTACCACAAGGCAGCATAATATTCTTCTAAAAGCAAAAAGGTGAGGCCTGCATTTGCTCAGCTTTTAAAAATCAAACAAAGTCAGTACTGTTCTGCCTCTCAGATCATTAGTTTTCAAGTATGCATCCAGGACTCCTTATATTTCCAATTTAACATGAATTCCATAAGTGTTTCATTCTAGAATAAGCTCATAGTGTTACTGCACATTAAGGTAGAATTTTAATAATCAAATAAATTTGCATAAACCAACATTTGTACCTGGCATGTAACTAATTCAGAAGTGTATGTAATATACACTCAAAATCTTTACATGTTCTTACTTGTAATTTAACTTGGAAACCCATTTTGTTTCGAAACAAAGCACAAATTTGTCAGCCAAGGTTACATGAAAGAAGCTTGACATTTTAAACAATGCCTTTTTAAAATTATCTGACTGTAAAATAGCATCTGAACAGTTTTTGAAAGGTTGAAACACCTTTCCTCGTGCTAAGATAACTACAAGGGCTGAACAGGTTTTTTTTACTCTTGCCAAAATAACACAGTTACTATTGCCAAACATAAAATGCTCCATCTCCACAACAAACAAAACAAATAAACAAAGAAAGCTACAAAGTACCAAAAACTAGGAGAGCCAGAATCTTCAATCCTCATCTAACTGAAATATTACTGCTGAACTTCAGTAAGGCCAGAAAAAAAACTTCATCAGATAGGAAATTTAAGAGGCAAAGTAGTGATTATTCCAAGTCTCATTACAAAAAGTGCTCATTATATAGCTGCAAGTCAATATACCTATAAACTGGAGGATTTCCACCTCAAGAAAGAGAGGGACAGAAAGATATTCCATCTATAGAAACCCACTGCCACTCACATGGATGCAGATTCAAACTAATTTTATATAAAGAAATTTCACATAGGTATTTATTGATTTTCTGTGTTTGGCACGTCTGAAATGAGATGTTAACTTTAATTAAAAGTAAAAACTTACAGGGCATAGGATAGATCAACTTTTAAAAATTAGAAAATACGGAAAAGAAATGATTAAAGTGTGGGAGGGGTTTTGTCATACTTTTTCAAGGTTCAGAGATGAGTGGAAAATGAAATAATTGTGGCCAGTAATTTACTCAACCTCAGCAGTGAGAACACGGTAAGGAAGGCCCTTTGTTGAGACCTGCACCTTGGGAACTATTTCATACACAAGCCTAACAAGATTTGTTTAAATAAAATCAGTGATGACTGATCTGCATTTGTCTGCCCAGATGCAAATCATTCAACAGCCCACCACCCCTCCCCAGCCATTATTCCTCTCCTACCTTCAAAACTCCCAGCAAACAGATAAATCCATGTAATGGCTGGGACAAAAAGGACGGTCAGAGAGGCAGCCAGGAATTTCCGTCGCCCTCTGCAGATTCCCAGCATTCTCTCAGGAGTGCAGATTCCAAGCCCAGTGTTGTTCCTATGTCGGAAGCAAATAGTCCACAGCCTCCCACATATTACTCCCTGAAAAGGAAAGGAAAAATATTTCAACAGCTTATCTCTCTACAGAAAGTTATAGACTATGCCAGTGTTCCAAAAGAGTTTAAAGAACAAGGCTAAAAATAGGGTTACTGCAATTGCAAGGTAGTACCCTTCTCAAAATTATCCACAACTACTTAATAATAAAGCAAGTTCAGAAGCCAGACTAAGCCAGTAAGTCAATGAAACACATCATCTCACCTAAATACATACTAAGCTCCATCTTACCAACAGACATCACCTTTACTTGTGGTTTTGCCCTCATTTTACTCTATAAGAAAATGATGGCTTCTTTGATGCCCACGTCTGCTGGGGTTCCAGGACAGATAAGAGAAAGGCACCCATATTTCTTCACCTGCTCCCAAAGAGCAAAAGTCACACCACTGAATCAATGAGCTGGCTGCACAGCTGGTCATGAACTCAAGAGAGTGAACCAAAAAAGGAAAGACAAAGTTTGAGGGTCGAGGGGCGTTATTAAAATGACCCACTTTGCTCATCAAAAAACAAGGCTGATGAACTGCTTTATTAAAGGGGAGAAGAGAAAGTGCAAAATGGGCAAGGAAACTTCATTGTTCACAAAGGGGATATCAGGAGCTTTGGACTGTATGCCATTAGAAAAGAGGTGGATTCTAGTGAGTAACACTGTTTTTATTAGGGAAAAAATAATTCTGATCTTAATTTGAAATAATTGTTCTGCATTTCAGAGAGGCCAAAATGACAAAATAATATGATGATTTTTATTCACAGGAAAATGAATATTCCCACATCAGTGTAGGCATGCAGGGCATAAAAATAATGTTTCATATTGATTGCAGTTTTGTTTGAAAGGGAAGGAAAAGGAAGTATACAAGTGGGAGAGGGAAACAGAGATATTAAATCCATGAAAATCTAGTTCAGGTTTTGTGTGAAAGGGCTTAAGTTTTTCAATTCTAAAAACAGAACTGGTCGACAAAAATGATAGGGAAAAAACCACAGATTCTGGCAGTACAAGGTGTTTAATAACAGTGCCCTTTGACTTACGCTTAAACTAGCACGAGTCAAAACAAGCAATGAAAGCATTTCTACAGTGACATATTAACAATGGTTGCTGTGTGTCTTGAAAGTATGTCTGAGCTCTACAGCTCCAAATACATTGCAGTGAAAGTCAATTCTGAGATTAAATTACAGCAAAAATGAGAATTGGAGACGAGAAACAGGTTCAGACAAAACCCTCTGATACTAGAGATACCTGGCCGCAGTAACCAGGCAAACTTACAGATGTTGCTTGAACACTCAATAGAGCCCACTTTACTACTCTACAGTTAAAGAGGCATGATAGTGCTCTGACCTTGGAACTGATAAAATGGACTATAATTTGTCCAGAGCCAGCACAAAAAGCATTCCATTGTGTCAGCTTTTCAATGCAATGAATGCCTCACCACAGAGATTTTGCGCAAAATATGTGGACAGACTTAATATTAGCAACTGTGGTAATAGAGTTACTCTGTGTTAGACAGAGACTCACATTTGGTAGATAAATTGTGGAGAACTCTTATCTTTATTCACTGTATTTGGATAATGATTACATTTCATTTCTTTTCCTTATATCACATATCTTGTACAACTACTCTGAAGAGAGTCCTTTGCATGCCTACTTGAAAACCACTGATAATTTCCCTGGCTTCTGTGTTTATAAGCATGTCTATTATAAAGTGCATAGAATCACTTATGTTAGGTAGGAATTCTTTTATTTATTTTTTTTTTTTCCTTTAGTAACACGGTATGCACCACTGACATCAGTCCGTGCATGGAAAAATAAACCTTTGAAAATACCAACCAATGTTGGTCATTGGCCAACAGCCAGATCTTGTAATGCAACATACTCTGGCTGCATACTGCTCCTATCAAAGATACTGTAAAACTCACAGCTAACAAAGTAAGAGTCAACACTACATGTTTCTGAAATCATGCTGCTATGATACACTGATACAAGCTTTTGGTGTAATGACAACCAGACTCTGAAGCCTGGGGTTATAGCGCTGGTAGTGGATTAATTCATCCTGGGGTGGCATATTTAAGAAATAATTTGATTTTTCCTATATATTCTTTTAAATATCCATGCAAGTTAAGTTTCTGAAAAGGTTGATGAGGAAGATGGAATCCAGCTTTTCTGCCCTATGAATGTAAAGTACCCTAACAAATCAAAAAGGTATAAGGAACAACATTTAACACCCAATTCAGCTATGAAGGAAAGCTAGGAATGTGGCAAATTCAGTTTTCTACAAACTGTCATCATTCAGACAAAACAGACAAATCATTTTGCACATTCATGTGCATCTTTTATCTCACTAGAAAGACATTTGGGAAAATCCTAAACAGATAAGTCAGCTTGTGATGAATCACCCTAGGAAATGTTGAGATACTTCTTTTAATAGTGCTTTAAAAGAGCCATAAACTATTTTAAATGAAGCTTCTACTATCTCCCCACCTCCCCAAAGTTGTGAATAGCTTCCCTTGGGTCTTAAATATTCATTTTTAGTGTATAAAATCACCACACCTGCTGAGTACTTTTTTCAAAATTAGATGATGCATCATCCGCAGCCCCTACACAAGCAATTATATAAAAGGTCCATGAATGGTAATGAAGATTCTTAGCTTAGAGGAAGAGCTGGACTCAATCATGTATTCAGTACTGGTTTTACTCAGAAAGAATGTCACCTAATATGCCATGGTAAAATAAATTGAAAGAAGACATTGCAGTTCTTTGACTTGGTTTTCCTTTCAATTCAACAGGTGCCAGACTGACATCTGGCACAAAAAGAAAGTAATTGACAACCACTGGCTGGAGCCAGGGCTGAGCACAAAACAGGGTAGCACATTTCTGACATAAGAGGTTGCCGTTGCCTTTTAGACTGCTCCTACAGTATCCAAGCCGCAATCCTACTGAATCAGACTGTCACCTGCCTAAAAGGCTTTAGAAAGCAGTTTCATGGTACAGGGTAAAAATGAAGCTACTTTGGGTGTGACATTGCTAGGCATATTCATTTTTTCAGTTATAGCAAACACTGCAAAATGGTTCACTTCATTTACACAAACCCATGCAGTGTTCCTCCTGATAGTTTTCGGTCTCAACAGCTGTGCTAACTGAGTGCTTATACTCAGAAATAGAGCATGAAATATGTCAGAAAGAAAAAAAAGTATGAAAGAGTAACTGGCCCGTTTAAGCACAGGACTTGGGTGTGATACTCCGATCAAAAAATAGTCCATGCTTCCTCTATATCTGTTGGCCAGTGTTAGCATTTTCAGACACATCTCACCGAGCCCCAGTGAGCATCTGCAGCTTTATCCACCTTTACTGGGTTTACCTCAAAGCAAGGGAGATCAAAATTAGTCCCAGAAAGGGAAAGGGAAGGGTTGTGTTTGCAGTTTAAAACATGGTCTCAGTTACACTCCTCAAGATACAATCAGATTTTCTGCTCGTGTGACAGATACAGAAAAGTGCATGCATCGCAGGACATTGCTCTACCTTGGCCTTCAACTGTGCTCCAAGTGCATCATATAATTTTATTTTAGAAATCTGATTCAGTAGTACCCATAAAAGCTACCTGAATGTACATCGTGCATGTATGTCTTGCTCTCAGTACGTCAGATGCTCTACACTTCTACAATACACCAGTTCAAGATTTATAAAACCTACTTACTGCACAGGAGCAGTTCAACAGACATTTATGCTGCAATCTCAAGCCAACTCATCCCTGACTACTGCCCACAGTGCTACAAAAGGCTACTAGCTTGGACAATACCTACGTGCAGGTCATAGTGGGAATTAAAATAATTTGGATTTCTCATTGTAAAGACTTACTCTTCACCTTCTTATGATATGTGACCTTGCTCATGACCTCCTTATATGAACAGAATGACCTTTGTTACCTTCACATACAGTCAAATGCTTCCATTAACTACACTAACTTATCAGAGCTGTTTCTTTGTTTTAAATCACGGATTATCTCCTCAGCTAAGCGTGAAGCAGCTCTCAACCAGTATGAGCAGCACATATATTAAAGCATGTAACACAACACTAATCACATTAGTATTCAGTTTCTATATGTTTATTTTTTTAATTATGGCACGACAGCTAAACTATGTCAGACATTCAGCAGGAGTTCAGTAAAACAATGGAAGTAATTATGAAAACAAAAATCAAACACAATTAACTAGATTTAACTGCTCTACTATAAAAAGCTTTTCTAACCACTTCATGCATTTCCTTGCATTTGTTACAGTTAATCTTATCCCAGTAATCTTCCATTTGTTTTCAGAGCCACTGGAAATGAATATATACAGTTAAAGCTGTTTATACACCAATCCTGTGCCTTGGCTTTGTTGTTGTTGTTTCTTAAATTAATGTTATCTAATTCTTTCTGCTCTTCCACACTTGCAGTCACAGAGTTAATGAACAATTTCTACTGTAAAGCTTTTCCCTTGGCTCTGTGTCAATGTAGCATTCGTCCCTTATGAGAGATTTTTCACAGGTTTTTGCCAGACTCAAAATATAAATAATATAAAGTAAAAAAGCAGTATCTTAGCCAGTATTTTTCTGGTTTTCTTTAAATGTTGCAAATGAGGGGTTATAATGAGCTTACTCCTTGACAGTCAGATTTTATCTTGCAGCTTTGCAGTCTTCCCGTTATGGAAGTTGGTTGTCGTGTGACAGATCACTTTTTGTCATATTAAAGAAAAGTTTAGTACCATAAAGGAAGGGTGTAGAATAAACCCAAGATTGTGAAATAAAATATGAAACAATTAAATGAAACAATTAAATGGTACATCTCTCTATTAATTTCCAAGGTTTAACCCCAGCCAGCAATTAAGAACAACACAGCCACTTGATCCCTCTCCCTACCTCCTTCCAGTGGGATGGGGAGGAGACTGGAAAAAGGTAAAATTCGTGGGTTGAGAGAAGAATAATAAATAACTTAATAGTTTAATTAATTGTTAATTAAACA